TAATTCCGATCAATTCCCACTCAATATAACGAAGCGGAGGGGCGGCAGGAGGGCCTCGATCGGTTATTTGCATACGGCCGTGAACTAGTTACCGCAGCTGGATGGGTGGCCCAGAAGGCGCACAAGGGACTCAGTCCCGCTAACCCGCGGTAAGACACTATTACGCCCTAACCCGTCCGCATTTTTGTGTGCAGGTTTTTCTTCCGCGCGCGGGTTCGTCGGAATTTGAGACGTCGAATACAATGAAAAAAAAATCGCAACTCGATCGAACAATATTTAGTATCCGCGCAACGCAATTACAATTTCGAAAATTCACTTAATAAAACCAAAATTGAAAATTATGAAAAATTGCAAAGTTCGCCCCCTTACTAAACACGTCATTGTAGGACCTAAATATCAGAATTTCGTTCGTTTGGACGTACCTCTCATATATTTCGAGATTTAACCAATTTTAGCCATTTTAATGCATATTTAAAAAAAAATGGCTTAGATCGGCAAAGATCGGCCAACATCTCGAAAATTAAGAGAGGGACGTAGAAACGGAAGAACTTTTGGATGAACTTGGACACAGTTCACAATTCTTTCACGTAATACTATCAATGGGGTGCAGCTGAGAATTTTACGGCCCAGCATACTTTTCGGAAGTGTCGCAAGTTTAAACACCAGCTGACGTATAACCTAGTTAGACACCACAATGTGTCTAGAAAATGCACACTGGAACTTGAACATCAATTGGCGTGCAAACTTTTTTCACAATTATAGTAATAGAAGACAGGGTGGCAAGAGCGCTTTTGGCCATCAGTTACACGGTAAACACGATGTCTCATTTTTTGAGGTAAAAGGGAAAACTTTGAGGAACTCCCTTGATTTGAGGGAAAATCCTATGATTTCGTGGAAGTCTCCTGAAAAATTGTGGGATTTTTTAAAATCATTTTTTAAGGAGATTCCTCATAGTCTGAGGCGAGATTGGAGGAGTTTTTCGCAAATTTGGGAGTTCCTCAAAGCCTTTCCTTTTCCCTACAAACTCGTGGGCGAAATTGTCAGTTTTGTCCCCCAATCGCGACAAAATTTAAGATAGAATTGAAGATTAAGACATGTTATATCCACCTTCAACCATCCCGCTTTCCGCATGGTCGCACATTTTCGCGAATGCGCGAGCTCGGAAGATGGTGGGAGGAGACAGGAGCCGAGGAAGGAGAAGCAGTAACGTGGTGGGATAGGGGGATGGGCGAGGAAGCCCAGCGTGAGGGGTGTGCGCCTCCTGGGCCCAACGGGCTGCAAAAACCGCTTTAGGAATTGCATCAGATAAAGTGAGCAGGGGGCGGGTATATAAGCGCAGCCGACAGAGTGCACCGACACTCTTCGTCCAGAAGCAGCAGCCCCCTCATCAGCCATGGCATTCAAGGTACACCCCACGGATAACGGATACAGTGCAGTGATTTAGTGTTTAGTGACTCACTCAGACAAGAAGTGAACACAGTGGATTAAAGTCATCTACAACGCGAATGAAAAAGGTTTCGAAGTGTCAAGAGATTACTCAGTGCAGTGTTTCTGTCCACAGTACATCGTGTTCGCCGCCTGCGTGGCCGTCGTCCGCGCTGGTGTGCTGGCTCCCGCACCCCTGGCCTACGCCGCTGCCCCCGTCCTCGCCAAGGCTGCCGTCGCCGTCGACACCGACTACGACCCCAACCCCAGCTACAACTACGCCTACGACATCCACCGGCGACGCCAAGTCCCAGCAGGAGTCTCGCCAGGGTGACGTCGTCCAGGGCTCCTACTCCCTCGTCGAGCCCGACGGCAGCCGTCGTACCGTCGAGTACACCGCCGACCCCGTCAACGGCTTCAACGCCGTCGTGCACAAGGACGGCCCCGGCGTCGCTGTGGCTGCCGCCCCCGTCGTCGCTAAGGTTGCTGCTCCGGTTGCCTACGCCGCCCCCACCCCCATCGCCTACTCCACCCCCATCGCCAAAGTGGCCGCCCCCCTGGCCTACTCTGCCCCTCTCGGCTACGCCGCTGCCCCTGCCATCTACCACCACTAAGTTAAACATGCACCTATTTATTTCTCACCTAAAATAAAAAAAACTAAATATTTGATTCTTTTCATAAAGTATTCCCTTTTCAGAGGTAAGAGCTAACGCATACGCATACATAAAACATGATAGTTCTGACACAGTATCATAAAACATATCTAATACCATGCCTTTTTGTTTAACTGAAGTAAACACTGAGAAATCATTTCCTGTCGCGCATTGGGCGGTCGTCCAATGCGTAATACCCAGTAGTTCCCGTAATACCTTGATAGTTCCCGACACTAAAATTATTGAGCGTAGCAACAAAATTTCGAAGCTCAGCAACAAAACGTTGCTGTCCAGGGCAAAACTGTTTAGTGCGTCCAAACTTTCGGTCTCGGTACAAAACATTTTTCTCAGAGCATGTTTTTAATCAGCTAAATCGCTACTCCTCTTTCCATTATCGAACTGTCTGGGCCTCGAAACATGAAACATGATGGGCACACACAAAACTTTTAGGAACGTTCTTGATCACACTCACCAATTTCTGTGAACCTCGCAAACTCTTGCGTATTACTTCAAGAGCAGTTATGAACAAAATTGTTCATAGCTGCTTACGTTTGTCCATATTTGTTCACAATTCAGTACAAATAATATGCCATAGCGCAGGTACACAAAAAAATAATTCAAGCTGCGTACAAATCGTAAGAATTTATTATGCACCAACGCAGGCAATGGACGACAATTTTCGGCAGTCTAGGTACAGACATTAAGTCACATATTTCTCAAGCTATCAGACAATCTTAGCAAACAAGCTATCTCCTAAAGTGCCTTTGCTATTCCTAATGTAGAACTGCTCTACAGTTGTAAGTGTAGAACTAAAACGTTCTGCATCCAGGACAAAAATCTTTTTTTCTGATGAGACCATCGTCTTTGTATTAAAATTCTCTTTCAAACTAGCATGAAAGGGTTGCGACTTAAATTAAAACAGATACGCGAAAGAATACGAATGTCATTTTAGGACTCGTTATCCGTTTCAATTTAACGTCGCATCTCTAGAAAAAATGTCCTTAATCCTGCTGCGGAAATCGCACTTGGAACAGCAGAACTTTCAGGAGTTTCTACACTTATAACTGTAGAACATGTTCTGCACTTGGATTAGCAGATTGTTGACAGGTCCTCTGGCGACTCACAATCAGCCTTTCGTCGGCGGTATGCAAAATAATAGGGAAAAGGGAAGTTGTTTGCATGGACTATTGCGTTGAATTCCAATTCAACCAATTCAACCTTCAACAATTCGACACGTTTCACACGTCACAAATCGAAAAAGTACTGGTTAAAAGAGAAAGTGACACATTTTTGTTAAAGACCCTGGAAGATTAATGCCTCTTCTGCAGAAAGCACAGGGAAAAAAGAACACTTGACAAGAAACAGCTGGGCTGACTAGATTCGAACCAGCACCATAAGTTAATTTATGTTTCGGATATTGCAATTGATACCTTTTAACTTTTTAACATTGAATCACGGCGCCGTATAGAGTTCGCGATTTCACGGCCCGATGGACAAAATGCTAACAATCAATCACTAATACAGTACACGACAAAGGCCGGCGCCCTCAGTTTGGTGTGGGAGACGTTCAAGGGAAGCAACTCATGCCTTGGTCCGTCCCACCAAAAGCGGCTCCACCCGGCTCCGTCCTACCTGAGCGGGCCGCGAGGAGACGACCGGTTCAGACGAAGGCCCCACCCGCCGCGTTTTGACGTACAAGTGGGGTCAATGGATTATGCATTTTCGTATTTTGTTTTAATCGCTTTAAAAAAATCCCTCCTTCTTACCTATAAACAGGGTACAAATGGATACTTCATACCTCATTGAGTTAATTAACTAGAACCTTTCGCAAAAAAAAAATCCATCCAATTCTAGAAGAAAACATAAAACATATTAAATAAAGTATTCTGGTCAACGCTCTGCTTTTAGAGAATGCAGGTGTTACTGATACATAAAAAGGCAAAAACCCAAAAAATTGCAGCTTTGTCGCTAAAGACGCTACAAGACTCCACCTGCGCGCACTAAATCAGGCATCGAGCCGTCTGGCCCGGGGCGACCCGCGGGGCGGGGCTCTCTGGTGTGGGGGGCGCGAGTGTGTAGTCTGCCTTGTCTGGGTCAGGGTCGGGAGGCACCTCGGCACCGCCTGCCCAGCCAGGGACAGCCAATAATAACTCGAGCACTCAATTAGGCCCCCCCTTCCTTTCCACCAGTTTTGCCTGAGTTTCCTAGCGAATCCGCAAACGCGCACATTCTCTCATATTAGTAAAATTACAAGGGCGTTAATGTATCTATATCCATACCTAATCAACTTTTCAGACAGTCCCCAGTGGCTGCCTTTACTCGAAGATAGAAAATTTCTGTTATTGTTGATTGATAAAGATAGCCGATAAATACTGCCGATTGTTTACAGCTACTTGAATCAGGTAAACCCGGTCGATTCGATTTTTCGAACACTAACTTTTAGTCAAACAAGTACAAAAAAAGTTAGGTGCCTCCTATGAATCAAACTAAAGAAAAAATAACGGAGAAACTATTGACACAGCCCGGAAAAAATCAGAGCAGATATTAAAGACATTGCCGAAAAAAAATTATTTCATTGTTTGACCTCATGTTAAATTTTTAAAGCTGTTTGTTTATGTACTTATTATTCCACAACATCACCAATAGAGCGAGTTCGAGTAGCGAGAGAGGCTACTGGAAGGTTCGAGTAGCAGATTTATGGACGACTACAACAGGAAAGGAAGAATTAGAACCGTGATGTCAGATACGCAGAGATAGTAAGCAGAAGAGGAGGGGGAGAGGGGCAAGGGTGAAAAGCGAGACGGCAGGTGAGAGGGGAGGCGGGGGGCGTGGGGAGGTGCCAGCCAGAGACGCACCTCGGGGAGGAGGTTGCTGCTGCAGCGAAGCTCCTCCCGCCGAAAACGAGCGATGGTGGACCAGGTATAAATGGACAAGCGAGATGGCTGACCAGCACATTCGGCAGCCGTCCACAGCAGAACAGCAGTCATGGCATTCAAGGTACGTTCTAAAGAGTCCACAACGACAAGTTCTTACCACATTTAGCTATCGTTTGCAAGAGTTCCCACTAATCACGCTTTATGGTGTTTCCTCCTCCAGCTTGTTGTCTTCGTCGCCTGCGTGGCTGCGGCCAGCGCTGGGGTCATCCCCGCCGGCCCAGTGGCGTACTCCGGCTACGCCGCCCCCGCTGCGTACGCCCACGCCGCCCCCGTGGCGTACTCTGGCTACGCTGCTCCCGCCGCGTACGCCCACGCACCCGTGGCATACGCCGCCCACGCCGCCCCCGTCGTCAAGAGCTTCGCTGCCCCCGTTGCTTACGCCCACGCCCCCGTTGTCGCCAAGGCCGTCGCCCCCGTGTCCGTCGACACCGACTACGACCCCAACCCCAGCTACAGCTACTCCTACGACATCCAGGACGCCCTGACCGGCGACTCCAAGGGCCAGCAGGAGACCCGCCAGGGTGATGTTGTCCAGGGCTCCTACTCCGTCGTCGACCCCGACGGCACCCGCCGCACCGTCGAGTACACCGCCGACCCCGTCAACGGCTTCAACGCTGTTGTCCACAAGCAGCCCCTGCAGGCTGCCGTGGTGAAGACTGTCGCCGCCCCCGTTGCCTACGCTGCCCCCATCGCCAAGGTCCACGCCCCTGTGGCCTACGCCGCCCCCATCGCCAAGGTCGCCGCCCCCGTAGCGTACGCCCACCCCGCCCCTCTGGGTTACCAGGCTGCCGCTGCTTACTACCACTAAGTCAACACCAAAGTCCCCTCATTATAAATAGTCCATCCCCACGCAATAAAACATCACCAGTCCCACCAGCCTCCGACTACTTATTGCATTTTACCTTTGGTGACTACTTACTTTTTGACACTTGCCGAAGTCTGGGATAATATTCACTCTAAATGTCCAAGATTAAATCGTAACAAGAACCGTACTCTTTGGTCCAGACTGAGTTCAAATAGAATATACACCCAAAAAATGTGTTTTTAATTCAAGATGATACCCAAAATTTTAAAGCAAATAAGGATAAATTTCATCCCTGTTTACTTAATTTAAGTGTAAATAGGGGTTTAAATAAGTACATTTGCCTTAAAATTTTGGGGATCATCTTGAATTGAAAACACATTTTTTGGGGGTGTAACAATGACGATACTCATTTGGTAACTACTGGCAAGTAACAATTTTGTATCTGCACTCAGTCATGTGCACAGGAGTCTAGTGATATTTACAATAAGTGTTCTTAGAAATATAGAGTGCACCTTACCCCACCCAACGCCCAAAGGAAGTGTTAGCTCCACAAACACAGTGGTTGCCTACAGTGACCCGATGGAGATGTTACGACCTTGTGCGTGCGCGAGCGTGTCAGGGCTGGGGCGGGGTCTCAGCCGTTCTTGAACTGGCCTGCCAGTTAAGCGAGGTGGTGCGCAGCAGGTTGGGGCATCAGTACGTGGTCTTTTAAATGGCACGTAAATCTAGAGACCTTGTAAGGCTTATTCAAATTTGAACATATGATTCGGAAATTAGGTTGTTTTTCACCATTGGCCTTTAGTTTAGGAAATAGGAAGTGGAAAATCTGCCACATTAAGTTAGGCTACACCGACACCAGTAAGATTCTAACACAAAACA